CCGAATTCCTCAAGCGTGTGACGGAAATGTTACGCCCCTACCATACATATTCAGATATGTGTTCAGGTCCGTCATGAAACGAGAATAACGTGAGGACAATTGAGAATCCCGAAACCAGCTGCCGTAAAACACGAGCCAGCGAGAGATCAGCTGACAGATGCTGGGTGATCTACAAACGCTCCGCACAAGAGATTTATCTGATAAGAGGGGCAATTTAACACATCTTTGCTGATTTGCGAATGCTCTCGCCCTCCTGTCCATGGCATGATCCCATGGCTGCATTGTGGCTTGGGAAATTACAAGAAGGCATATTTCACTATTCCAATTTCTGTCTCCATGAATGACTGCACACATGAGAGTGCGAGTGTGTCTGTGAGCGTGTCGGTGTGTTTGAATGTGTGAGCCTTCAGCCAGCACCGTTCCCACAATGCAGGTAACCTTGGCAACTAATCCTATTTACAGACTATTGGATCCATTATTCAAGCATTTGGTCCCCAAGATAAATAAATCTAATCTTCATTTCTCAGTGACATTAGAGTGCTTTAAATTCTAACAGGCATTTGAAGACGTCGACACAAAATACTAGTGTCGTTTGGTGATCAGATACAGCCTTGATGTGACATGATTTTTGTGAGTTTTCCTGTTTCATACCAAACACGAAAGCAGAGCAGCTGCATATGCAGAACTACCATCAAGTATTTCCTTTAATAATGGTAATGCATTAAAAAATCGTTATCAGGAACGTGCTATTTAGCATTCTGATAAAACTGATTGTCTTGAAATCTAATTTACATAAGTAAACAGATCATATTTACACAAATCGTAACTCAGACCCCCAAACTATAGCTATAAAGTTATTCAATTGTCTGGATTCAGTCAAATTTACAGATTAGAAAGTGTCTGTGTGTTTTGTGTCTTTTTTCAAACAACGGGTGTAGTAGTTTACTACAGTATTGTTTTTTGCTAAATTTGTTGTATTGTGTGTGTGTGTGTGTATATATATATATATATATATATATATATATACACTAGCTTAAATTAAAATTAGAAATGTTGCTTTGGCAACTAACTGAAATAAGTTTAAGTTGGAGTATTAAAATGACTAAAACTGAAATAAAAATTAAAAATAAATTCAAGACTAAATAAAAATATTAAAAACAAAAAATGTATAAATATGATGAAATCACGTCAAACTTATGCTAATATTAAAATATAAAAAATAATAAAAGCTAATTTAAAATAATAACAATAAATCCTATAATTGTATATAATTAATACTAAAATAAGTAGTATTTAAAAAAAAAAATCTCTTTGCACCACCTGATGGTGATTTTTGCAAATGTTTTATGTGACTTTTCTGTGGTGGTAAAGGATGTTTGTTGACCCAGCCGGCATTTTGCCAACTTTTAACATTGAAATGTGTTTGATATAATATCAGTGTATTTTTTAACATTGACAAAATGTTGAAACAATGTTTATAAATGGCTATAGAATTGCTAACAAAATAATTGAATACTGAAATGTTTACCACACATTGTAAAAGCAAGACATTGTGATATCGACACTGATTTGTTTTCGACATTGCAAAATTCAACAGTGTGTCAGCCTTAACCAATTACATTGTTTCATCATAAATAAATGTTGAAATGCTGGCTGGGCAGTATCTTCTGTTTACTGCAAATGATTGTGATGATAAATAGGTTTGTAGTGCAAAAATAGACTTCTTGTGTGTTGACGCCAGTTTGCATCAACCAGAAGTCATTCATATTTACTGCTACAATTTATGTAGCACTTTCCCTTGGCTGCATAATATTCATTTTTATATGTTTTTGCCAACAATAAATCAGATTTCCCGAAAGCTATGGTTACACAGCCCACCATAACATTATGGCATCCAGAAATAGCAATGCCTGCTAGTGACCTGCTGACCTCCAGCGACTGAAATCACTGTCAGTGTGAACGACCCATCAGCGCCGAAACTCAACACTCCTGCTGCTCAACAAATACCAAGTATATATTTGGGCAACTCAACGTGTCGTATTTGGTCAGCGCATTTGATTTGAGTCTCGCTAATGTCTCAGTGGAGCTGCGTGTTCATTCTTGCTGTCTTGTGAGAGTAGGTCGTTGACAGCGTGAGAGACAGAACATAATGCATCTCTGTCTCAGACAATAGCAGTCACTGTCTCTGAATGTGTATGTGTGTGTGTGTGTGTGTGCGGGCGGGAAGGGGAGTTGGATGACACCCAATGGGAGGATCTCGCTGCTGTTCTCTGATGTGAAGACTGACTGACTGTGTATTCACTGAGTTATACGGAGACTGCATAAACCTGAAGCCTTCATTTACTCTCTCTCAGCCGCGCACCGCTCGCTTTCTCACCTTCACACCAGTGCACTCACAGAGATTGCTCATATTCTCGCACATTTATAGACACAAATAACCACATGCATCTTTCACGTACACACACCAGCGCTCACTCATATTCTCACATATTCAGTGTGCTGGGCGGCATGGATGTTAAAAATGCTGGTGCTGTCGCTGACACAATCTTTTCAAAAAATCAGTAGGAACAAGTCTGTAGGCTATATACTATAAAACAGCAATTTAATTATTGTTATCGCTCCAATAGCTGTTCTTTTATCATGATAAGGAAACAATACAGAATCTTATCCTAAAATCTTTATGATGTAAAATGTGAAGGTTGTGTCAGGGACATAGAATACACTGCAAGTGCTTTTAGAGGTTTTTTTGGAAGTTTGTCCCACTTTTTAGTGGATAGTTGTAATATTATAAAGGAATAGTTCACCCAAAAATAAAAATTTGCTGAAATATTTATAATTACTAACCCTAAGCAGAAGATGAGTTTGTGTCTTCATCAGAACAGATTTGGAGAAATGTAGCACTTGCTCACCAATGGATCCTCTGCAGTGAATGGGTGCCGTCAGAATGAGAGTACAAACAGCTGATAAAAACATCACAATAATCTACAAGTAATCCACACCACTCCAGTCCATCATTTAATGTCTTGTGAGGTAAAAATCCATCATTAAACATTTTAATTTTATATATATATATATACAGAATTTACAACAAGTATAAAAAGTTGAGCGGTACTTGATTTTGCACTATAATCTGGATGTGATTGGAACATGAAAGTTGTTTTTAGTGTACATCGGAGGTAGTTCAAGAGAAGTGGTTGAAAAATAAGAGTTGACAATGTCATTTTAAGGATGCAAAGGCTACAAAATCTTTGCAATAATGTGCACTGATGAATCATTAACAATATGACCACAAAGGTTTATTATACATTGATCTCATGTTTTACCCAAATCAGAGGGAAATGTCAAGTGTATTTTTCAAGCCCTCAAACCTAATCATATCCCTGACCCCAGTATTATCCTAAAATTGTTTGGTAGAAATGTGGTTCCAGAACCAAAAGAGATCCTTCACAATGTATAAAGATGCTTTTGCTCAAAATAAATAACTGAAGACACTCTATTTTACTAAACATTTCAACATTTCTACAGCGAAACAGCCTTTAAAGTTTAAATGCTACACACACATTCACTATATCAGTTGTTGTTGATGTCGTTCCCATCGTGTCTCTGCTTTACAGGAGAAGAATGACTGGGAAGAGTCAGACCAGCAATGTCACTAACAAGAACGACCCGCGCTCCCTCAACTCACGGGTCTTTATCGGCAACCTCAACACCGCCATCGTGAAGAAGGCCGACATCGAGGTCATCTTTGCCAAGTACGGCAAGATCGTGGGCTGTTCGGTGCATAAAGGTTTCGCTTTCGTCCAGTACATGAGTGAAAGGAACGCACGGGCGGCCGTGGCAGGCGAGAACACCAGGATTATCGCAGGACAGCCGCTGGGTGAGTTCCTTTCTGCTTTACTAAAGTTGTGCTCGACAAAACCGCTCTCTTTGCTCGGCTCTGCCGGACTGACAGACGTTCACAGGGGCCCGCTTTGCCTGAGGCGGATCCAGAGTGAGTTTGTTTTGGCTTTGTGATTCTTGGACATGCAAAGTGTTTTTGAGTGTTTTGACTGTGGGTGGGAGAGACAAGCGCTTGTGGTGGCGTAGAAGTGACATTGCCTTTATTTTGGGTTTTACTGTAAAGATACTTGAGAAAATGGCAGTGGAACAAGAAATTTAAAGATGAAGTATGTAATTTTTTTGGATGCTAAAATATTTATTCATCCAAAGCGTAATGTGCAGAGACAACTATAAGTAAACCATTTGTAGCTTGATTTCCCTAAAGAGTGTAAACACTGTAGCCTTGTGGTGTTTTTAAAACAGCAAGATCTTATTTGGTTGGTTGGTTATTTATTTATTTGTTGGTTTGTTTGTTGTGAAAGACTGATTTTTTTTTTTTTGATCTTGCTGTTTTTAAAAACCACATTTATTTGTAAGAAAATGCCAAATGAAATTGAAATGTAATTGAAATGAAATTTAAAGATGAAGTGAGTAGTGTTTTTATGCTAAAATACGTATTCTCTCTGAGCTTAATGTGTGTGATTATTGACTGACTGACTGACTGATTGATTGATTGATTGATTGATTGATTGAAGTGAATGAAATAATTAATTCATTAATTCATTAATTAATTTGATCTTGCTGTTTAAAAAATGCTTGTTTGCTTGCTTGTTTGGTTGGTTGGTTATTTATTTATTAATTGTATTTGACCATTGTGAAAGACTAAAATGAATGAATGGATGGATGACAAACAAACAAACAAACAAACAAACAAATAAATAAATAAATAAATAAATAAATGTATTCTTGCTGCTTTGAAAACACTACATTTATTTATTTATTTATTAAATTTTCCATTTGGAAAGACTGAAATTAATGAATGGTTGAATGAATAAATAAACAAATACATTTAGATATATAGAAAAAAAATGCATCATTACAATATATCAAGAAACAGGAAATCAATGGCGTGAGTTTTGGGGGCGGGGCTGTCTGTTTTCCTGACCAATGGCAAATGGAGAGAAAATAAATCATTATTTTTTTTGCCTTTTTGTTTGCTGGCACAGACATTACACTCCTTATTTTTCATTGAATGCTATAAAATGCCACCAGTTTGTTATTTGTTTCTCAGAGTTTGATTTCTGAGCTCGTTTAAGCAGCATGTCTAACTTCGATCTATTACAGCATGTGCAGCATTGTGTGTTTAATCAATAACCAGTGGGCTTCCATTGTCAAATGACTATAACATTCCGATATTACACTCACATATTTGTAACCTCCTGGGAGCAGCACTATTAAAACAGGAGGCCTGACACATTACTTAAACTTCTCTCCATCCTCATTATACCATTGACCTGCTTTAAAAAAAAACATGGTTTTATTTTTGCAGTGGAAAACATTTTATACATAATGCAAAATATAGCCAGGGAACCCTCATTAGGAATGGCCACAGAGGGCCTGCTAAGATAACAATTTAGCTGGAGGTCAAGCTGTAAACATGTGCAACTGCTCCTCAACTGGGGATTTCTGCTAAATGAGGCTGTTTTATTAGATGTTAAAGTCAACATGACATCAAAACTGAATGTTTACTTTTTAACTCGTTACTGGTCGTTTTCATCTGAATTTAGTAACTTGGCTGACATAATCAGTCCATCTCATTTGTCCATTCCCTTCCTCTAACTATCAGAAAGACTTTTCATTATCCAATCAATTCCTGATGGATGATAATAAGGCAGTGTCTATTTAAACTGAATATAAAAATGCTATTTTCACTAGTCTACTCACCATCGCCCAGATGTTTTACTTTTTAGCACAAATAGAATGTTATTTTTGTTTTTTTGCAATATGAATGTCATCACTATTTGTACTTTATGCAAAATAGAAGATATTTGTTGCTATTTTTACTTGGTGCAAACAGATACAATTACTAGTAAAATGGGGTTCGATACGATTTTTAAATGTTTTTGAAATAAATTTCTTGTACTCACCTGCATTTATTTGATAAAAAATACAGTAAAATACAGTCAAATTGCGAAATATTATTACAACTTAAAACAGCTGTTTGCTATTTAAATATGTTTTAAAATGTAATTTATTCCTGTGATGCAAGCTGAATTTTCGGCATCATTATTCCAGTCTTCAGTGTCACATGATCCTTCAGATCTTGTGCTCAAGAAGAGAAAATGCAAACCATGAAACAAGTTTTTTGGGGGATTCTTTTTACCTTTTTTACACTTTAAATAACACTAAACAATGCCCCACCTTACTCTTTTGTTCTCATTGAATATCTTTGACTAATAAATGTCACATTAGAAATTTTACTTCTGTAATTTCATTTCATGTTGAATTTAATTTGTTTTCATGCAACAAAAAAAAGTGACACCTATAATAAGCGCACAATGTGATGCCATTTCTTAAACGTGGTCTGTATTTCTGCATTCAAATACAGCTTGCTGGAGTCAAGCAGAATTAAACAGAATGCAGAATTTATGCATTTTCAACATCCAGGCTTGTTGCCAGTTATCCATAAAGTATTAGGCAAATTAGCATCAATGTGATCCGTTGACAACCAATAGGAGTGCAGACAGTGAGGCTCATGTGATCTGCCTCCTGATACAGTTGGATTTAATCCCTGCCAGTACAAACACAGACTACAGTCTCATTTCTATGCAAGGTGTCTCTTGTTTTGAAAGGCTCTTTGCAGCGATTCTTCTCGGGTCTATCTCTCGGTTGTGTCAGTGGCACACAGAGGCTGATGTACGATCCCGGTCTCTTTCCTAATCTCCTCGTAGTGCAGGCCCAGCATGTGGAGTAATGTAGAAATGCTGATATACTCCTCTGGCCGAACAACGAAGGCAAATTCCTTCATTACCGCAGGTCTGCTCTGCAGCCACCACCCTCCAACCCCCCCCAACCTGACCTGGTAATTCCCTAATGGAAACTAGTCGAATGCTGCAGATACCATCACTCTGCCTGACTGCGATAACACACGACTCACTCTCCTTTTGGAAGCACATCTACATCAGAGCGAGAGAGCCTTGCAGGATGTTACATATTAATGTTAGCCAGTACTTCGTACTGATAAGCAGCAACGATATACACAGGTATAAACACACAGACATATTTCTGAAGAGTGCACTGGGCTCCAATGATCTTTGGCATTATATTCAGGACAAAAACTTTTGGATTGTTGTTTTTTTCTAAAAAGCAGACAGTGATTGAATTGTTGTGTTCGTCTGTGTTCTGCATTGTTCATTAATTTAGCTTCTTATTTTCAATATTGATTTTTTTGTTCATATTTTTTGTATTGTAGGTACAAAAATACATGGAGCCACATTTCTAGTTTCAACATTATTTGTTCTTCAGACATTTCTCCTTAAAAGGAAAAAGTATCAGCTGTATGCAAAATAACCCACTGAAAATGTGTACAGTTTAACAATTGACTCATGGGCCTTAAAAATTAAGATACCAGAAGAAAAGTTTAAGAAACAAAATCTAAAAGGATATTTTTAATACTTCTTGAGTTACGGCCATGCAAACCTTGGGGGAAAAACTCGAAAAGTGCTTTTTGCCATTTTTGAACTGTCACCATTGGCATATAATTGAACAAAGATTACTAAAGTCAACTGATTTTACTAATAGAAATACCAATTTCCGAGTAAAAATAACATAATAATGCTGCCATCTTTCGTGTCATTTTTACCCCTGTAATTTTGCTCCAAATCTCAAGTGAAAATTGTCATTTTGACCCCCCTCTACCAAACAGCGGATTACTCAGTAAATATTCATCCATGACATTTAATATTTTGGCTTTGTTCACTATTTATGTTTGTCTTTCTTCAGGAAAAATATTAACAAAATCTAAAATTTTAGCAGACGTTTCTGAAATTTGGTTGATTTGACACAGAAATGCCCATATGTTTTAGATGCTTTAAAAAACAACAACACATAATTGTAATAATTAAATAGTCCAATTACAAATAAACAATAATAAATAGTATGCATTTACTATTACGATCATTTACTATTAGTCTATAATTTATTTCAAAACTGTATTGAATTATCCACACAATATGCTTATATATATCAATGCATACTACATAATATTAAAATAATATGCTTTTGAAATACATAAATAAATAATACAATAATACATAAAAAAAAAAAAAGGTGTAATATATTATATAAATAGTACAACTGCAAATTATATAGTAATACATTTATTTTATTTTATTTTACTTTTTGTTCATTTCATTTTGAATAACTTGATGGATGGATAAATTAACAAATTTTTTTTTTTCTTCAGAACTTAGCCAGCGGTTTAGTTGTTATCGATCTTTTCCCTTCAAGTAGATATGAGATGTACTTGTATTATTACAACATAGTTTGTCTTGGACGTTGCAAAGATGGCTGTCAAGTGAAACAGCTTATTTTAAAAGAACTCTGAACTCTTTCAGCAGGACATATATGTGAAGGATAGCAGATAAGAATGTGATGGACAGACAGACAGACGGACGCAGCACTTTTTTTCTGAAAGAAACAGAAAATGTTACCTACTGGCATTCAGGCGTTCGTGTAGGTGAAACTCCATCTGTGCATTAACAGCCCCAACAGTCAGAGGAATCTAAAATATTTTCATAATTTTAAAGGTCAGATAAAGGTCAGTATTGCTGAAAGCTATGTCTGCCATTATTATCAGATGATGTGCAAATCTCAACTCGGAGGGGAAAATAAATTCCTGATTGCCAATTAAATCCACACTCGCTCTCATCTTCCTGAACTGACGTCTTTTATTAGCGAGGCTGAGACCTGCGCTGACTTCCACTGAGGCGGCTGGGTGTGAGCCAGAGCTTTCCAACAATTTTCACAAAGCAGTTGCTGTTTCTTGCTGTCAATGAA